CCAAGTCCATCCACACTGTTGCAAATGACAAAATTTCATTCTTTTTTATGTCTGAGTAGTATTCCATTGTTTCTTGTGCATGTGTTTATGTATACATATGTGTGTACATTTTTATACACACACACACACACATACACACACACACATCCACAGCTTCTTTATCCATTCATCTGTTAGTGGACACTTAGGTTGCTTCTGCATCTTGGCAAGTAAATAATGCTGCTATGAACTTTGAGGTGGATGTATCTTTTTGAATTAGTGTTTTTGTTTTTGTTTCAGATATATATCCAGGAGTGGAATTGCTGGGTCATATGGTAGGTTTATTTTTAGTTTTTTGAGAAACTTCCATACAGTTTCCCACAGTGGCTGCACCAATTTACATTGCCATCAACAGTGTATGAGGGCTCACTCTTCCCCACATCTTTGCCAACATTTGTTATTTGTGATCATTTTGATGATGGCCATTCTGACGTGTGTGGGGTGGTATCTTCTTGTGGTTTTGATCTGCATTTCCCTGATGATTAGTGATATTGAGCATCTTTTCATATGCCTGTTGGCCATCTGCATGTCTTCTTTGGAAAAATGTTTATCCAGGTCTTCTGCCCATTTTTTAATTGGCTTGTTTGCTTTTTTGACGTTGAGTTGTATGAGCTGTTTATATATTTTGCATATTAACTCCTTATCAGTCCTATCATTTGCAAATTCCATAGGCTGTCTTTTTGTTTTGCTTATGGTTTCCTTTGCTGTGCAAATCTTTTAAGTTTAATTAGGTCCCATTTGTTTATTTTTGCTTTTATTTCTTTTGCTTTAGAAGACAGATCCAAAAAAACATTGCTGCAATTCATGTCAAAGAGTGTTTTGCCTATATTTTCTTTTAGGAGTTTTATGGTTTCTGGTCTTACATTTAGATCTTTAATCCATTTGACTATATTTTTTGTGTATGGTGTTAGAGAATGTTCTAAGTTCATTCTTTTACAGGTAACTGTCCAGTTTTCCCAGTACCAATTATTTCTCCATTGTTTACTTTTGCCTCCTTTGTTGTAGATTAATTGACCATAAGTGTGTACATCTTTCTTCTTCCACTTAACAATATATTCGGAGACTTTTACATATTCATACACCAAGAGCTTTCTCATTCTTTTCACCAGGTTAAATCTCATTGGGTGTATGTACCATAATTTATTTAACTGGCCCCTAAATGAAAGACAAATGAACTGTTTTCTAGACAAAGCTTCCGCCTTCCTTGACAGAGGAACTAACTAACTAACTGCTGATCAGGCAGTTAGGATGGACTTATAAAAGAGTGTAGGGAGGTAGGGAGACACTCTACCATCCCTTGGGCTGAGGACAGAGCTAAGGGCAGGACAGAGAGGCAAGGTGGGGGCTCCCCTGGTCTCCTGGGAGGCTGGTTTCTCTGCTGACTTCTCCTCTGGTGCCCCTACCACTCACTGCTCTGGCTCAGTTACTCCTCCACAGTCCCCTTACCTGTTGGCCTTCCCCTGACTCTGCCCAGGGAAATTCCCAAGACCCTTCTGTGGGGTTTGGGGAGGATTGTTGAGGTGTTAGGACTTGGGGTCTGGCTCTCTGGGTCAGCACTCTCACTAGCTTTCCATATTGCCCACTCCCTACTCCCAGCTCCCCTGACAAGAGGTCCAGGGCCATGAGCAAGAACTGAATGGCTCAGTGGCCTTCACCTGGCCCCAGGGTCAGCTTCCCTATCTGCCCCACTGGCAATCTCTGGGCGTCTAAACCTAGGCTGCTCTGGGCTAGTGGGGATGGGCTGAGGAAGTGGAAGCAGAGGTTGGCTGGTGCGCCCCCTCCCTCCCCAACCGCATCAGCAGATCATGCCCTGTGGTTCCTCTTATGCAGGACCCTCTGATTAGTGGTGAAACACTGGCTGGCAAAACCCGGAAGGGGAGGTCCAGGGAGGTGTGGTGACTACCTTCATGTCAGAGCGCAAGCTAGTGTTAAAGTGTTCTCGGTAGGAGACAGATTCCTGCCTTCTGCCCAGACCTCTCCAGGCCCCTCATTGCTTGGCTCAGCTGTGCTGTGGGGTAAACTGGGTGGCGAGGGCAGAAGATCTGGGCTTGGAGGGAGACAGGAAATCTAGCCAAGTCTTATGGTGGCTTTCTGACAGGCGTGGATAGAAATGGCCGGGCAGATAACACAGTTGCTGCTTCTGGCTTTGGTGGCTGCTGCATGGGGTGCCCCGCCAAAGACACCCCAGGCCAGGAAGGACCTGCTCAACGTCTGCATGAACGCCAAGCACCACAAGCCAAAGCCAGGTCCGGAGGAGGAGCTATATGGCCAGGTGAGAATGGAGTGGGGGACAGGGCTGCCTCAAAAAGGGAAGAAGTTAGGGAGGGGGGTAGATCAGCTGTGAGGGGTGATGGAGGCAGGAAGGTGGCTGAGGTGATCCTGGTGGACTTCTCTCAAGAGCCACTAGAATAAAGGGGGGACTATTTATCTAGCACTCACTATGGGCCAAGTGTTTTCCTCACACCTTATAGGTAAATATACCCAAAGCGCCTACTTGATAGGTGGGTGGTGGTCTCTACTTATACAAATGAGGATATAGGCCTGAGAGGGCACAGGTACATGTGGGAACTAGAGACCGGTTGTCAGCAGGCACCAGAAGAGTGTGATGGTCCCTTTCCCATCCTTCATTATGTGCCAGCCCAGGAGCTCAAAAGCACACCTGGAGAATGTCATTCTAAGTAAAGTAAGCCAGAAAGAGAAGGAAAAATACCATATGATATCACTTATATGTGGAATCCAAAAAAAAAAAAAAAAAGACAAACCAACTTATCTACAAAACAGAAACAGATTCACAGTCACAGAAAACAAACTTATGGCTCCCAGTGGGGGAAAGCATGGGGGAAGGGATAAATTGGTAGTTTGAGATTTGCAGATACTAATATATATAAAATAGATAAACAACAATTTTATATTGTCTAGCACAGGGAACTATATTCAATATCTTGTAGTAACATATGGTGAAAAAGAATATGGAAACGAATACATGTATGTTCCTATATGACTGAAGTATTGTGCTATATATTAGAAGTTGACACATTGTAAACTGACTATACTTAAATCAAAAAATTTATATATTTAAAAAAATAGTTAATTAAATAAATAAACAAAGAGAAAGCACCACCACTTCTGAAGTCTCACCTGTCTTGAATGTACCTCTCTAAGATTGTCTCCCACTTTCAGTCAGATCCGTGTTCAGGCCCATGTGCAGGTCACTGCCCCTCTGTGCCCTGCTGATTTCAAGACCTACCTGAAGTCCCCATGCCTGGGGTTCCAGACCCTGAGAGAGCCATACTAGCCCCCTTCACCTCTGCCCCCACACCAACCCGGAACCAGGCTCCTCTTCTCCCTGTCCTGAGTCACAACCTTAATCTTACCATTTACAAGGGGTGCAGCTTACTTTGTTCTTTTTTTCCTACCTTGGTAGGGGGAGGTAATAAGATAGATAGATAGATAGATAGATAGATAGATAGATAGATAGATAGATAGATTTAAGATACTAACTCTGTATATAAAATAGATAAACAAGTTTCTACTGTATAGCACAGGGGACTATATTCAGTATTTTGTAGTAACCTGTAATGAAAAAGAATATGAAAACGAATATATGTATATGTATGACTAAACTATTATGTTGTATACCAGAAACTGGCACAACATTGTAAACTGACTATACTACAATTAAAAGTATATATGTATTTATTTACTAATGGAGGTACTGGGGATTGAACCCAAGACCTTGTGCATACTAAGCACATTCTCTACCACTGAGCTATATCCTCCCCTACTGGTGCAACTTACTTCAACCCTGTAAAAATTGGAGTAATGATCTTTTGACTGAATTGTTAAGAGGCTAAAGTGGAAAAGCCTCAGGGATTTGGCATCTGCTGTTTTCTGTGCTGAAAACATTCTCTGTCTTCCCCTCAACCCTAACAAAAACCATAAGCTCAAGGAAGGCAGAGATTTGATCTGTTTTGTTCTCTACAGTACTCTCAGCCCCTAGTACAGTGCCTGCACTCAGTAAATATTGGCTCAAGGCAAAATGAGGAATATAATAAGCCAGATAATGTGAAATATATTTGTAAACTGTTTAGAGCTGTACAAATAATAATTGCTCCCCCAAATGATGGTTCCCCAGGTCTCCCATATCCCCTGTGTTACTCTCTGTTAAAAGTCAATACAATTATTGTCTCCATCCCAAAATGAGGGCTCCTCAAGGGTCACACTTAGAGGTACCCTCCCTGGCGAGTGTTCCTCTGGACAACCCACCTGAGGCAGAGGAGCCAAAATATAGAGGAGACGGCCATATTTGGGGAAGGATTTAGTCTTGTGTCTTCCCCATCCAGTGCAGTCCCTGGAGGAAGAACTCCTGCTGTTCTGT